GAGCCACAGCGCCACTTCCGGTTTTCTGGTGGTTTATTGGAGATAAGAGTCTCATGGACTTTCCTGCCCGGGCTGGCTTTGAACCTCGATCCTCAGATCTCAGACTCCTGAGTAGTTAGGATTACAGGCTTGAGCCACCAACACCCAGCCCCAGCCTTGAACCATGCTTTTTGTACCTCACCCACCACCATGGCCTGTTGACTGAGGACACACAGGGAACCCAGACTCACTAGATGCACAGGCTCTGGTTCACATGAGGAACACAGAGGGCTGAAGAGGAGGAGGTCCCTGACCTCTTCACCTAGGCAGAAGTGAGGACACCAAAACACACAATCAAGTTCCTGGTCTTTAATTGGGGGTGAGGCTGGGGCAGGCCCTCTGGCCAGGTGGCATAGGTGCTGTAGGTATGGGTGGCAGCTCGGCAGGGACAGGGGTTGGGACAGCCAGTCAGGTTGAGAGATCCTTAAGAGAGCCCCACCAGGCCTGTGGAACCTGGCGCTGTGCTGCCCCCTGGCGGCCTTTTCGCTAAGCTGCATGGAGGAGGAAACTCCTGGGTTTTTCCAGGCCACCCCTAAATAGTCTTGACCCCAGGGGAGCTGGTTCCACCTGTGCGGTACACACCCTGCTGGGCCCTAGGCCTGTTTTCCTGATAGGCATACACGGACTACTCCAGGGCCTTCACCAGGGCCTCGTTGGCCTCGATGCGTATCTGGATCTCTGCCCTTGCAGCCTCATCTGCAGCCCCAGACAGCTCAGACTGTGCCTTCTCCAGATTCGCCTTGGCTGTCTGCAGAGGGTGGGCAGGAGTGAGGGCAGAGTAGACCCAGCTGGGCACCTGCCCTTCCACTGCAGCAGGTACCCTCTACACTTACCCCCAGATCCAGCATGTCCAGTGTCACAGCCTCTTCAGCCAGTAACTGCACGGAGGAGTCAGCATTCACCGTGACAGAGCCGCTGCTCACTGTGGGAGGGAGAGCAGGAGGCAAAGCCTCAATCCACTGTATCTGTGCAGCATCCTGGTGGGCAACCTCAGAGTACCTTAGCTTGGAGCTCCCAGTCTGTGCCACTAGCCTAGCAGACTACCCTCTGTCAAAAATGAAATACAAGCGGGGTTCCTGTGGCTCACCCTTATCATCCTAGCAACTTAGGAAGTTGACATCTGAAGACTATTTTTTTTTTTTTTTGTCGGTCGTGGGGCTTGAACTCTGGGCCTGGGCGCTGTCCCTCAGCTCTCCAGCTCAAGGTGAGCGCTCTACCACTTGAGCTACAG